TATATATGATATCAGATATATAATTTGCAAATAATTTCCCCAATTCTATGGGTGGTTCTTTCAATTAAAACAAAATTTTATCTACTCAGTAATTTGCTTCTTGTTACAAAAGTCATGGCTGTATTTCCTTGTTTATACAGTATGTACGTAAGTCCTTTTGTGTATTGGGTCGAGTGTTTTTCTTGTTGACATGCACCTCTTTGGCTTTCAGAGTGTACTTTCATCTTGCTGATTTTCCACTGTTTTTTTTCAGACTCTTTGTAGTAGCTGTAGATTTGGACGATGGCCACCATTTCACCAGTACTTTCCATGGGCCAGGCACTGTGCCCAGCCGCTTTGCGTGAGTGTTATCAATCAAGAGGGTGGAGGGACCCGGGACACCTGGCCTGCAGAGCTCTGCACACGACACCAGCACGCCACTCCCTGCTCTGTCTGCAACTGCGCAGCGTAGAGCCAGAACTCAGCACAGTGAGTCACAGGGTCGGAGGAAAGCCGTTCTCAGTCTTCACTCCCCTTAGCTCCTTAGCATGAGCTTTCCTCAGCAAGCCTGTCTCTACCTGCCAGGTTCAATGATTGCCCTTGCTCCTGGCGGTTGCTGTCATGGAAATGAGGAAGACCCCCTCTAAACATGTATACACACATATTCAAAACCAACTGTCACAATGGCTGGGAATCTTGCCGTCAAGATCAAAGGAGCTCCGGTGAGCCTTTCTTACACATGAATGTTTGCCGGCTCTCCATTTCACAGAAGCAGCTCGGTGTCCAGATGCTCCTCGTGACTTGGTATCATTTGTCTCTTAGCCTCTTCTAAACTTTGCCCCTTAAACAGTACCTCCTCCACGCACTACTTTTTAGCTGGAACACACACTCCATTTACTCATCAAATACTTTCTCTTTTCTTCATTTATAGGTTTCTGAAACATTTAATATTCATTCCTAACAAGTTGAAAAATTGGGCCAACATTCCATTCGCACTTGGCTTCTCAATCTGGCGGCTAATTAGTAATCAAGGACTCCGCTATCCTGACCAGGAACACCTGTCGGCAGCGTGGGCTCAGTATAATTACTCCTAGTAACGAAAGTGTAAAAATAAGCAAAATGTATCATTCTGGCTAGATTCAATTAAGAGTTTTGCTTTGCTACAGGAAACCTCTTTAGTCACTGACAATTCACCTGAGTTAGTTGAGCTGGATTTTAAACAGGGAAGAGTAATGAAAGGATTTTGTAAATTGAATTTTTAAAATGCTTCTTTTCGAGGCAGCTGAAAAGACACCTTCCATCCCCATTCTATTTTCCCTGAACCCATCTGGCAAAGTAATAGACTTAAAGGATGTAAGTAAGATAACTAATTAAAGACAGGGTTTAAAGAAAGTCCTGTTTGTTGTTCTTCAGCTGGCAAGCCCCCCAGTAAAAGCATACCTGCTTGCTTGGAGGCGGCAAATGGGGCCCTTTCTCTTGGTTTTCATGAGTAGACATAGAAGCCATGGCGAGTTCCTGCTTGTTCTTCCCCTAGTTCAGTGTTCTCTGCTCACTCCGTGACCCCCTATCTACAGAAAATAGAAGAGCATCAGCACCCAAGGACTGAATGTGTACAGCAAGCTAAAAATACCCTCAGTATCAACTGAACTTATTTGGAAAACTTACTTTCATTTGTCACTAGTCCATCAGCAAATGCAATTCTAACGCTCCTCTTCCACTAACACACACGCATTAACTCGCTAATGGTGACAGATCGGATTTAGAGTGAAGTGTCGCACAGCGCACAGTGCAATGTTTCATTACTATAAATTGTGTCCTAAAAATAAAAGCCCCAATTCAATACAGTCATTAACTACACAAATCCTTACTAAGCACCCGGTGTGTGCCAGGCCAGAGGGTACGGAGCAGGATCAGACAAAATCAGTGAGGAAGGAACTCAGAGTCAAAAAGGGAAGACAGATGGTCAACAGTTGCACAACATAAAAAGGGATGCCCTGTATTGTGGCGGCACCTGTGGTCCCAGCTACTCGGGAGGCTGAGGCAAGAGAATCGCCTAAGCCCAAGAGCTGGAGGTTGCTGTGAGCTGTGACGCCACGGCACTCTACTGAGGGTGACAAAGTAAGACTATCTCTAAAAACAAAGCAAAACAAAACAAAAAAGGGCTGCCGTAAGTAGAGGTATGCCCAGGGTGCTCAGGAAGGAGAGGAAGGAAGGTCCACTCCATCTGCCAGGTCACCCAGAAGACTAGGGAGCTTTCCAGAGTATGACATGTAAAGGGTAGATGGACGGCGAGGCCAGGAGGACCAGGGTGGAAGACAATGCAATAGTCCAGACGGGGAGCTACAGATGCCTGAAGAAAGGCTCTGTGGGAAGGACAGAGATGATAAACCTGGGTTTGGAAATGGTGGATGTAGTGCCTGTCAAGACAAGCAGTGGAATTAGCCAGTAGAGATTAGAATATTTGAGGATTTGAGTCTGGAGTTCCAGATTAAGGGTAGGCTGGAGAGATGAATTTGGAAGTTACTATCATAGAGATGAGAGTTAAATCAGGGTATGTGAAAAAATTTGTCTCATAAGAATATCAGAGAGTGTGAAGTTGAGCCCAAGGGAATATTAACACTCATTGTGTGCTCGGTGCCCAGCTGTCTGGACTTCGTATCAACAAGAGAAGGAAAAACAAAGTAGGCCAAAGAAATGGCTGAGAGGAAACAGCTACAGAGAGGACAGGGAATTTCTGAAGGAAATGTTTCATCAATGGTGTCACATGGCTCAGAGACTGGACCCTGGATTTGGCAATAATGGATGTACTCCAAGTGGACTCTGAGCCTCATTCTCTCCGCCCACCTCCAATGGCCATTCTGCAGCCCTGGACTCCACAACTATCACCGATTCTCTGTAAAATGAGCATTTTACAAATATACATTTCTGATTCCTACATGAGTTACTAAACTGCAAGGCATATGAGCCAAAGGGACCCCTACTTCCTGTGCATTTCACTTTAGATGCCTAATGTAATTGCAGAGGCAGCCTGGTGCCCTGTAGGACAAAGTGCTGGAGTCAGAGAAACCAGAGTTCAAATACTGACTTTACTCCTGGCTAGCCATGTGCGTTGGGACATACGACTTAATGTGTCTGTGCCTGGGTTTTCTCACCTGTTACCTGGGCATAATGGACAATCTGGAGGGGCTGTTGCAAGGATGAGGGATGAGGATGAGAGATGAGGGATGAGGATGAGAGATGAGGATGAAGGATGAGGGATGAGGGAGGATAAGGATGAGGGATGAGGATGAGGAATGAGGATGAGGAATGAGGATGAGGGATGAGGATGAGGGATGAAGATGGGGGATGAGGATGAAGGATGAAGATGAGGGATGAAGTCCAGACAGCCTCAGCTCCGCACCCGAGCACACAGCGATTGTGTTGTTCTCAGAGTGGCCCTGAGCACCTTATTTCCTGAGCACCCCCAGGGAGTCTCTGCTGACTTAATGGACAAATTAGATTATTTTTACTTAGTCAGGCATTAAGCCACTGCCACAGGTCAGGAAGCACAGATACTACGCCGCCTCAACTTTGCGGTCGGGTCCCCTGTACCCGATGAATCCTCAGTCCACATCGAAGCAACCTAAGCCTTCTGGGGGTCTGGCCTTGGATATCAGCTCCCGTCACCCACAGCCGGTCTGGTCTCTGCTTCTGGGTGGAAGGGAAGGGGGGCCAGGGTGCTGAGAAGTGGGCAGGAAAGTGCGCTGCGGTGGGGGGAGGGGTTCAGCATGGACAGGAAGGGACGAGGTAGGATGGACAGTGGGAGGAGGGTCACCGCACCTTCTGATGGTGGAAGGGGGCGGTCCTGGGGGGGGTCCTGGGGATCGGCCTGCCGGAATCTGCCAGCACGACACCCAAGCGCTCCCTGGTCCCCTGTCCCGGCCGGGCCCGCAGCGGGCCAGTCACCGAGGACGCCTGAGCCAGAGGAGGGCTGGAAGGCGGCCACCGCCGAGCTGCGCAGCCTTCAGAGGGCTGTCCTGCCGGTGCCCTCGTCCCCAGGGCCTCCGCGAATAAAGCGGGCCCCTCCCGCTG